TCCAAACCTCAAGGCCTCAGTGTAATTTACCTAAATTTTATTGTGTATGCTCAACTTTCAATTATATAATCAATCATTTTACATGTTAAGTCAAGTTGCAATATTATTCTTTCGTTCATCTATTGTTAATAAAAGTTATGGAAATTAAAATTAAATTTTTTTTACCAAAAATTTACTTCGATCTGTATACTTTTAATTTTTCTATTAATTTTATTAACAATAGATTGACATATTGATTATCATAATTAAAAAATTGTTCGGCTTCTCTCAAGTTCAGAACTTGAAGGAGTCCATGGAGTGTACCATGTATCCTATTTTAATAATATGAATTTTATCTACGGAAAAAAATTCAATCGATTTGGTATTTATAATATTTTTATTTTAAAAAAAATAGAGGACAAATATATTTTTAAAAACAAACTATCATTTTTTTTTACATAATGATAAAATAAGAAAATTATGACTATTGAATCGAATTAATTTTTTTCACAAATAATATACACAAATTTTTTTTATAAAATAAATAAATTAAATCATCAAAACAGAACACATGATAAATTTTACGAACCTCTCAAATTTAAATTTGATCTTTAAAAAAAAACATAATTCATAACAACAAGGGACAATAGCAAAAATTGTTAGCAACATAAAATAATTACAAAGGAATGAAAATACATGACATATTTATATAATTTAATGCATAAAATGTTTATACTTGTATCACTTTATAATTATTTTGTAATGGTATCATTTTTCTGCAATTGTCCCTTACAAAATCCCTTACTTATTTTATTATTTATTTTATTTTTGTTTTTTCTTGCACCTGAAGAAAATGATTGTAGTAATTAAAGTAGACTACAAGTGTTATTATTACAACCATCAATGAGATGCTTCCACTCACCGATAAAAAGTCAACGCTCGAGCCCCCTTTTGTTAATTTCTATATTGCACATTGACCACATTCTGCCCTCCGTGCTATCGTGCGCCGTCCCTACCCTAACTCTATTTATTTGAACATAGATACAAAGAGGACAACCTCACAAAGCTTATCGTGGACTCACCATTCATATGTAATCCCTTTTATTGTTTATTTTACAAGATAAATTATACCAACTTTTGTTGAGATTTGAAAAAAAAAAAATGTAATAAACTTTATAATTTTGATATAATTACATAAATTTTCCTCTTTTAGTAAGGTTTAAAAAATCAAAATTAATACAAATAATATGATGATTCAAAGATAAATAAGACAAAATATACAATTCAGAGTTGACACATCATTTTTCTATAAGAATTGGGTTTCTTTTATGTTTAAGAGCATCTATCATGTTACCATCTTTGAATTTTGTGGATAAAAATTTATTTATAAAAAAAAAAAGAAAAAAAAAGGGTATTCATCATTACATTAGATGCATTTAATTAAAAAAACTTTAAAAAAAAAAGGAGGGTAAAATATACTTTCACTTCTAAAGTATGACCATCAGCTTTGGTCCTTAAAGAGAAATTTTTTTTTTTTTTATCTCATTTTGGTTTCTATTCAAAAATTATTTCAAGTTTCAAATTCTTCTCTCTTTTTCTTTCTCACTTATCGCATGATCTTTTTACTTGTCGAATGATGCATACTTAACCAGTTAATATAAAGTTTAGTTTTTGAAATTGAATGGATTTGGGAGGTGTGAATGTTTTTAAGATTAGGTTGAGTTTGAATTTATGGATTAAAGTGGAAAAAGTTATTTTTTTTAGGAATTAAGGTGAGAAGACTTAATTTTGTAAAGACTAAAATAAGAAACTTTTGAAACTCCAAAGTTGCCCTAACTATAAAGAGAGTTGATAATTGAACAAAACTGAGAAATGAAATGACAGAGAGTTTAGAGTTTACACTTATAAAGTTTGGAGAAAATATAGCCTCCGTTTGGGAAGTGGGTTGACTTTTTAGCTTTTTAGCTTTTTTGGCTATTTTAGCCTGGGCTAAAAAGCTTGATTTGGGAAGGACTTTTTGGCTTTTTGGCTTTTTTGACTTTTTTTGTGAGAGAAGAATGTAATGATTATAGATTGGATGTGATGTTTTGTTTGTTATGGCTAAAATAGCCTATTTTGTTTTTTGTGGCTAAAATAGCCAAAAAAGCCTGAAAAAGCCCTTGCCAAACACAGGTATAGTAAATCCTATGGTTTTAACATAATTACGTTAACAAGAGACTAAAAATTCAAAAATTATTTCAAGTTTCAAATTCTTCTCTCTTTTTCTTTCTCACTTATCGCATGATCTTTTTACTTGTCGAATGATGCATACTTAACCAGTTAATATAAAGTTTAGTTTTTGAAATTGAATGGATTTGGGAGGTGTGAATGTTTTTAAGATTAGGTTGAGTTTGAATTTATGGATTAAAGTGGAAAAAGTTATTTTTTTTAGGAATTAAGGTGAGAAGACTTAATTTTGTAAGGACTAAAATAAGAAACTTTTGAAACTCCAAAGTTGCCCTAACTATGAAGAGAGTTGATAATTGAACAAAACTGAGAAATGAAATGACAAAGAGTTTAGAGTTTACACTTATAAAGTTTGGAGAAAATATAGTAAATCCTATAGTTTTAACATAATTACGTTAACAAGAGACTAAAACTAATGCACATGGTATGAAAATATAAAAATATACAAAGTAAAATATATCATTTTTCCATTTATATAACTAACAAATTTTGATAAAAAGAGAGTTAAATATTATATGAATTAAAATTTTAAGGGAACCAAATATAATTATTTCAAACTTGTGATGATTGCAAATTTAGTTGGCTGTAATTTGACTCTTTAGACTAAAATTCACAAAAAGACAAAATAGGTTAAAATAGTCAATAAGACAAAATGTCACATCAAATTCATAATCATTTTACTTTTTCTTTTATAAATATCACATCTAATTACAAAAAAATTCAATTATCTTTCCAAATATAAAAATTTTAGTCTATTAAAATAGTCAAAAATTAAAATAGCCAACTTTCCAAACAAGGCCTTAGCTTCCTTGTTAGTTTATGCTTGCAATGGTTTTTGGTTGGCTATGTAATTTGAATAAGAGAACTATTATCACTTACCCAAAAAAGAGAACTCTTATGTATGTTTGTTGTTTTCTTTGAATGAAATTTTTATTTTGTCAAAAATAAAAGAAAGGCAAGAACCACAACAAGAAATAAGTGATATTTAAGGGAGTGTAAGCGTAATTTATTTCAAAAAAACAAAAACATAATAAAATATTATAGATTAATTATACAAACCTCTCTCAATGTTTAAAAAAAAATATAATTTTTTTTACAATTTTAAGATAATTACACTAAGGTCAAGTTTGGCTACAAAGAAAAAAGTGCACTTATTTCATCTTTTTATCTTTTTTGGGTCACATCAATCAATATCTCCTTTCTACTTTTTCTACACATAATACAAAAAAAGTCAAAAAGTACACTTATTTAGTCTTCCCAAACTAGGCCTAAATTTTCTTCTAATAATTTTAGGAAATTAAAGGGATCATGGTGTGAAAGGGTAAGAATTACTAATGAAATTATAAAGGGTACTAAGTTGACTTTTATGTCAAATTTTTGTAACTTCAAAAGTTTATTAATCATTAAAGTGAGGGATCATGATAAGAGGGTAAGGTTGAGCACTATGTACATTTGCTCGTTGCAATTATTTTAATAATTTGCTAAACCTACTGGAATCCATGCAAGTTGTAACTGAAAAGGAGGGAAAATTATTTAATATTTTTGGATTATTATGTGTTTCAACTCTCTAAGCCTCCATTTGGCAACAGTCATTTTAGCCACAAAAGATAAAATAGATTATTTTAATCACAAAAAATAAAATATCACATTCAACCCATAATCATTACATTCTTCTCTCATAAAAAAAGTCAAAAAATTCAAAAAGTCAAAAAGTCCTTCCCAAACTAAATTTTTTAGCCCAGGCTAAAATAGTCAAAAAAGCCAAAAAGCCAACCCACTTCCCAAACGGAGGCTAATTAATTATTATTTAATATATCTATTATATTCTCCAATTATTAATACAATATCTATCTATCTATTTTCTCTATCAATCATAATATTAAAAAATATCACATGCTTATATTTTTAGATTACTAAATAATTATCTAAAAAGGAGAGATACGTTAATACCCAAAAGAAATTTTTTTTGCTGATCTGAATTTATATGATTTAAATGATTCAAATATATCAAAACGATATCATTTTATATTTAAAATGATATCATTTTAAAATATTTGAACTATTCGAGCCAAGAAAATTCAGACAAGTGTATCAAAAACCCAAGAAAAGGAGGGGTGCGCAGGATAAGCGACGTAAAGCTACTCCAAGCCGCTCAACTTATTCTCTCTCTCTCTCTCTCTCTCGCACACTGTATATATATGACTTTGTTTGTTCACATTCTGATAGTGATCGCATCACAATCTCTCTCTCTCTCTCTCTCTCTCTCTCTCTCGAGTTCTGACTTTTTTTCTCTCTGATAGTGAGAGAGAACAATGGAGGACCTTCCAGCTGGTTATCGTCCCAACGTTGGAGTCTGCCTCATCAACGCCGACGATCAGGTAATTCTACAACCTTCTCTCCTCTCTCTCTCTCTCTCTCTCTCGAGCTTCTAAATTTTGAGTCTAGCTGTTTTGTATTGGAGTTCCAAGACGCAGATAAACCCTTCAATTTTGTTTCCAGATTTCAACTAGACTCGCTGTTTCTCACCTGTTCTGTCTTTACAGCCTTTGTCAACTGTTTGGGTTAATTGCACTTTGCATCCCTATATTTTTTAAATGGTTTGAATATATCAAAACGATATCATTTTATACTCAAAATGATACCGTTTTAAAATATTTAAACCATTCGAGTCAAGAAAATGCAGAGCACTGTATCCAAAAACCCAAGAAAAGGAGGGGTGCGCAGGATAAGCGACGTAAAGCTACTCCAAGCCGCTCAACTTATTCTCTCTCTCTCTCTCGCACACTGTATATATATGACTTTGTTTGTTCACATTCTGATAGTGATCGCATCACAATCTCTCTCTTTCTCTCTCTTGAGTTCTGACTTTTTTTTCTCTCTGATAGTGAGAGAGAACAATGGAGGACCTTCCAGCTGGTTATCGTCCCAACGTTGGAGTCTGCCTCATCAACGCCGACGATCAGGTAATTCTACAACCTTCTCTCTCTCTCTCTCTCTCTCTCGAGCTTCTAAATTTTGAGTCTAGCTGTTTTGTATTGGAGTTCCAAGACGCAGATAAACCCTTCAATTTTGTTTCCAGATTTCAACTAGACTCTCTGTTTCTCACCTGTTCTGTCTTTACAGCCTTTGTCAACTGTTTGGGTTAATTGCACTTTGCATCCCTATATTTACTTCAAATTTCATTTTTCTGTTGTTTTTAAAAATAAAAGAATAAGAAATCGCTTTACAATGTGAGTGCCGCATTATTTTGATGTTAAATTTGTTAGTGGAAATTATCATGTGGCCCTGTAGCATTTTTTAGGGTAAAATTACAATTTTTTTTTTGTCCTTTTCTTTTTTAAACTCAGCGTATTTTTATGAATTTTTTAAAATTTTGGTTACGATAAGTGACTAAAGTGGGATTTGATGTGTAGTAAAAGGGAGAAGTGTAATTTATGCAAACTCTTTTTTTTTTTTTGGGTTCTCTTTATGATGATCTGCATGTAAAATTTTAGAAGCATACTCTTCTAAGGCCGAGATCAGAACCTTTTAGTGTTAATAATTCTTTAGAGTCATCGAACTTGGAAAAAATTTGAATTAACCGTAATACAATTGCGGGAAACTCCTTACCGAGATTAATAGGATTTTGATCTAGACACCCAGTGCCAATAAAATTTTTAAAAAAATCCTAGAAGCTGTGCCGCCTATAATTTGATAATTTTTAAAATTTTCAGATTGTTCTGTAATTATTATTTTTATTTTTAAGAATTCACATGTGGAGGCCTTGGTGGTTGTATGAATTCTCGGTGACTTTAAATTAAAGCAAGAGTATAATTTTTGAAAAAGTTCTGGGTGGATAATTTCTGGCAAAAATATGGGAAACAGATTTTAAGCATGTTGAGAGATTGGTTATTTGTAAAATGTTTTACATGAAATTCATTTAGGCTCCGTTTGGTTGAAGGATTTGATGAGAGAAATGGAAATAGAAAAAGAAATGTAAGCTCACTTTTTGTTTGGTTTGGTTATAATGGAAAATACATAGAAAAAGAAAGTGAGATGAAAATACAATTCCACTTTTTGCCTTTTGGGTTTACTTAGGTTGTGTTTGGTTGGGGATTTGGGGAGGAATTTGGAAAGAAAAATGAAAAAATTTCACTCATCTTTTCCTTTTTCCTTTTCAAATCCCTCTCTAAATCTCCCAACCAAACATAGCCTCAGGCTCTTTTCTTTCTCTATATCCCAACTCAACCAAACATAGCTTAGAATTCAAATCCTATAAATTCTTTCTTCTATTCTTTCTATGTTCCTTTCCCATTCCATTTCCATCGTTAAATTCTCCAACCAAACACAACCTTACAGAAACTAAAATTAGGTTTTTTTTTTCCCCTTCTTCTTCTGCATGTCATTCTATGTATGTACAAACATATACATATGTGTGTGTGAAACAAAGGCCTAATTTAGTTTGGTTTGGTACAGCTGAACTGTACATATATATGTGTGTTTCTCTATCTACGGTTCAGATTATCAAAATGGGACTCATGGTGGCTCCACGGGCTCCTTGAGTTCTCTCGAGTTGATATTTGAACTTGAGATAAGCTCAACAATATGTGTGTGCGCGCGCGCACAATATACTCGCTCATATACATGCCTATATAGTAGCTTAAATGAATATATCTACGAAGCACCTATATTCGCTTGCTTATATAAGTTCCTGTCATTCAATTTCAGTATTGCTGAACTATTTCCCAAGTTCAACCATACAACGAAAAATTGGAAAACAAATTGACGAGGCCTTGGGCAAAATCTCAATAGGAGGTCTTTTATATTTAAATAGTTTTATCTTTAATGTAAAATTCAATTTTCTCTTCTATTCTTGTAACTAAAATTCGAGCTTATTCACTATCACAACCTTTATTACTAGGGGCCTTAGGACAGGGAGATTATTATTATTTTTTTAAAGTTAAATTTTGTTTTTTTATTGGTCCTTTGGACAAATTTTATTTTTTTTTTAATTTTTATTTATTTATTTATTTATTTTTTAAGCCTTTACTATTGATGACTTTCGGATAATAAGGAATTATTTTATTTTATTTTATATGGATGTTCTATTGGGAACCTTTGGACAGGGAGGGGTTTCTTTTTACTATACCTTTTGACAATGGTTTTTTTATTTATTAGCCTTTGGGACAAGGATATCTTTTTTCTGGCCAGACATCAAATAACTAAGAAATCCAAGACCTTTTAAAAAAGTGGGGCCTTGGGCGATGGACAGAATGGACTATGGGTTAGATCGGCCCAGAGAGAGAGAGATACCAATACTCAATAGGTGATTACTGGCAACAAATATTGGAAACATTAGCTTCAACATTATGATGATGATGTAAATTAGATGGTGTAAAATTATTTGAATGATTAGGATACTAAAATGTACTTATGTTTTATATAGTCAGAAAAAAATTCAAATTTGGCCGTGTAAACTGTATGATGGGACACTGAAAAAATATGCATATTTGTTCCTTGGATGTGTTAACTTTTTTCTTTGATTCATTTCATGCATTTGTTACACATTTTTATGAGTACTTTTTTTTAATTATATCTGGGATGCTGGATCAGTGAAAATAGGGATGTGAAGTAAATTTTACTTTCTTTGTTCATAAACAAGTGTTCTACCTCCTCCTCCTTCTGCTCCCGTTCTCTCCTTTTTACTGTTTCCGTGATGTGGATGCATGTGAATAAACGGTAATCCTCTTTGATTTACTTGCAGATTTTTGTGGCTTCTAGATTGAATGTTCCAGGAGCATGGCAGATGCCTCAGGTGATGCCACTATTCTGTTTTCTTCCTTTTTTTGCGATAACGAAATGATTTTTCGGTTTGAACATGTCACAATTCACTTGATTTAGGAAAAGGTTTATATCCTGCTTTGCCTAGACTCCTGTTACATGACATTCTTGAGTAGATGATATAAGTCTTGTGTTAATTGAAGGATAAACCTATTAACACCTGAACTTTCTTAAATAAATCTTATCATGATATAATATTTCCTGCAGGCAACAAAAATGGTGAGGTCAAAGGGATCATCTATTCATTTCCCCTCTATATTACTGATTTTCAACCCACGGACCTTTGCTATGTGGTTTAAGCACCCCTATATTTTTCAAAAGATAAAAATATCTCAACAGTTTGATTTTGCATGGAAAAATCCAGTAGTAGTTGAGTCTTAGGCTCGTGTAGATGGAAAACACTACCACCTGGTTTACCTACAGATTGTCCACAACAGCCATCCCTGTGGCGGTAATTGTTGAGTTAAAAACTAGGCCTGCCGAGCTGTAACATAATTTTCTCCCTGTTATTGAGCATATTATTCCTTATTCATTTGTCGTACAAGTCATTTCATGTGAATATATACTTGCAATGTGATAAACCTTGTTTTGGGGGCTCACTGAACGTGCACTTTCCTAGATGCTTAGGAGATGTTTTTCTTTGTTCACATGGAGTACCTCACCGCCTTGCTTGAGTTACTTTGACTTTTAATGGTCCATTTCAATAAATTTGGTTTCACATTTTAATAACTTTCTGGCCTTCACAGCTCATCTTTTCAGGCTGTCTACATGTTTTGACTTTCTTTGTTGTTCATTTTTTGTCGAGGTTAGGGTGGGATTGAAGAAGGGGAAGAGCCAAAGTCTGCAGCAATTAGGGAATTGCAAGAAGAAACTGGGATAGTGTCTGCCGAAATAATTTCTGAGGTTTGGTCAAAATTGAAAATTCAATCATGCTCTTTTATTGTTATTTCAATTCCAAAGTGCATACTAAGTGAGTAGGACATACAATATAGGACATTGATGTCATCATACCTTCTGTCTGAGTGCTTGTATAGATTGGAGTAATAATAATCACTTAGTTTGTCTCTAAAAAAAATGAACATGGGCACAAACATAGAAATGGGACACAACAATTAAAAAATATTTTTATTTGCTATATAGATTAATATTACGTCCACAAGCAATCAAAATTATACAAAAACTGACACTAATTCAACATATCTATTAGAAAGAAGAAAAAAAAAAAAAAAAAACCAGGCTTACGTTAACTCTAATTGTTTTTCTTTTTTTATGGATGATCTATTAATTATTTAAATTTGAGAATAATCAACATCCAACATCCAACATTCGTCAAAAGCACTAAAGATGGGGGAAAAAAAAGTTGGTGTGTCCCCATTGCACTCCCGGCATATCCCTTGTAAACAAATTAATTAAATAAAAGGACGCACTATGTGACGTGTCCCTGAGTATGACACCGCTATAGAGTGGCACCTGTTTGGAAGTTTCAATGATTCATTTTGTATGTTATAAAATATCAACTGTTAGATGCGTCTATCTGAATGGTTCGGTCAATGATTGCGTATAACTTTAGTTATAACAATGTCATACTTTTGTTTAAACATCATATTATCTAATATGATTTTATTAGTCATGTTCGAAAAGAAACAATATATAGAAGAAAAGGAAGGAAATCAAGGTTGATTTGTACAGAATAAAGAAGCTTTCTGAGTTAAATACCAGTGAATTCAGATTGTAGTATAACTTCGTTAAAAAGAGAGGGAAAACGTAGACCGTAGTATATGTAAACCTTGAATATTGTCCAAAGCAATTAATGTGGTTTGGCAGTCCTAGTTTTCGAAATTTATTTAGCACCTTTAACAAAAACAAAAAATATTTTTTAATTAAAACACCTAATAAGGTTGTAACTGACAGGTTCCAAAATGGTTGACTTATGACTTTCCACCAGCTGTGAAGGCCAAAGTCAATCGTCTTTGGGGAGGTGAGTGGCATGGGCAGGCGCAGAAGTGGTGAGTACAACGAACATATTTCCCTTTTGTTACTGTGTAGAATGTAGATGTACTGTTTGTGAAACACTAATGTGCCTAATTGATAAATATTACTCGATCATTTATAATTAGCAAATGACTATAAGAATCTATGACTTGTTCCATGAGTTTTATCCCTGGCCTTATGGTGGTGTATCAAATGAAATAATGTCATCCAAATCTTAATATAAAATGCATAATGCACTCCATTTTATCTTCCGTTGCTCGTCTTTTTTGCTTCTCATCCTATTTTTTCAGATACTTGCTTCTCCATTCTTCTCTCCTTGACTCAACTTTTCTTTATCGATCAATGTGATCATAGGATGTTGTGAGTTTTGATGTATTATCTATTAGAAGAAAATAAACTTTATTTGAGTTGAGGAAATTGAAATGCCATTTTCACATATGTTATGAAAAATATTATAAGAGCATGTATTTTGATTACTGTTCATCAAAGCCAGAGTCTGTAGTTAAGAAGGTTGTTGGATTTCATTGAATCAATGCTTGATACTCTTCCCTCAAAGGGTTGATGACATAACATCATTCTGTCATGGAGTGGAAACCAGAGTAAATTTTGTGTGCTTGTATTGGAAGTTGTAGTGCAACTGAATCACGAACAAAAGGAAAAAGGAGGATATGATCTTATTTTTATCCTTTTCCTGAGTTTTCGGCGGTCAAGTATAGCGCAGACTAGTTACTTGGCTGCACATCACATTGATCTGCACAATGCTTGTTTCTCCTTATATGGAGTCGGAAACTTAGAGGAAACTTGTCCATTGTGAAGTTATTGCTTTGTATATTTTTTCTTTAGGATGACAGCGTTGGTCACTGATGGAAGTGTTGGGTTGATATTAACCCAGCAACAATTTTCACTATTTCACATGACAGCCAAGGTTCTAAATTCAAAGATATAATTGAGATACAAACTAGAAACACGGACATGCGACACGACACAAATACAACATGGACATGCCGACACGACAATTTTTGAAAATGCAGGACACGACACGACACCTAGGGGATATATAGTTTTATATATTTATTATATGTTACACTAATTTATTATATCATTCAAACACATTAAAGAATTGCAATATTACACTAATTTCTATAAATTTACATTATTTTTCTTTTATTATTGTATCCTAAGTTATTTTGTTCAAATTATTAAATTAGTTTTATGTTTGTGTAATCGATGGACACGTGTTTGAGCGATAGACGTGTAATGTCCGGGTCTAAAAAAATTTAAAACGAATGACATGTTTTGACGAGTGTCAGATATGTGTCGGTAAATGTCCGACGAGTGTTGGTGTCCAACACGAACATGTCACTTGTGTGCTTTTTAGGATACAATTGATGTTATGAAATTTTGAAATTTAAATATTTAGTGTAGAATGCCACTACCTTGGCAAATTTTTCTAGAAAAGAACCTATTTTGATCTGTCAACAAGTAAAATTTATATTATCTGCATAGCTCTCTATACTTGACATTTGGTTTCATTCAATTCCTTTTAAGGGTATGTACTTGGTCAGTCTTGCTAAATTCTTTGATTGTAAATCATTTTCCTATCATTGAATATGTAGATTAGTGTCATTATTTGTTGGTTGTTATGCATCTATTCTTATATTGTCTGCCATTGAATGGAATAGTTCGTATAGAATTTCTTGCTTGTTATCTTCTAGCATTAGAAAGAATTTGGCAATTGACAGGTTTCTTATGAGATTTACAAAAGATGATAGAGAGGTCAACTTAGCAAGTGGCGAAGCGGACCCCGAATTCTCCGAGTGGAAATGGGCAAGCCCTGAAGAAGTTATTGAGCAGGTACGCTGCAAATAATTATAGATTCGTCGCTCACCGTGTTTGTTTAAAAGGCTTACTTGGACATTGGATGTGACCGATTACAGGCAGTAGACTACAAGAGGCCAACATACGAGGAAGTTTTAAGAACCTTCAGTCCTTACTTCACTGAAAGTGGCAAAGCTGCTAAATGTCAATCAGCAAAATGGTGAACATCGCGGAGGTGGTTTGCAGCTTTCTTCATGTTGCTAACTCAATTTTCTCATTTGGAATGTAGAATTTTACTTTGCTCTTTGTAAAGAGATATGGCTTTTAATGGCCTCTTAAGAATTGGTACTTGCTTATAAATGTAATAAAATGTTTGTGCAAAGTCTCAGGTCTTTTTTGTGATTTTGACTGCAATGATGTTTGCTCTCAAATGAGAAATTGAAGTGTCCTCTTGGGGGGGAATGATATAAAAGTAGAAAGATATTGGCCCTTTGGGTGCATTTTTGAAGCTGCTTATAACTTATTTTATTTTGGGAATTTGTGCAAGAACTGGTTGGAGTAGCTTTTGTTTTGTTTACAACTTGTGAACTAAAATAGTTATAAGTTGAAATTTTTTGATTATCTAAAAAAGAGACAAGCTAGTATGATTATGAAGGTTGTTGCTGTTGTATTTAGGCATTTATGGTTTTGAATATGATGCCCCGTCTAAATGTCATGCACCACACAACATATACAGGAAGTAGAATTTTTTTTCTTTTATAGTTTTTTTCTTTGGGCATTTTGGCCTATAAATTCAATTTTCAATTTTGTTGGCCAAAAGTCTAAGCGTTAGAATACTTTGTCTAAAAACGCAAGCTTAGACAAAATGATCAAAATATCCCTATTAATATCATATACATGGCAGACTCTGCCTCATTTCCAAACAATCTATCTCTCTCTCTCTCTCTCTCTCTCTCTCCTCTACCGTCGTTTCTTCTTCGTTGCCTCGTTCCACAGCCCTTTTCCATAGTGAGATCCAAATTCGTAGCTTGTCAGACAGATCTAGAGAAGGATCAAGGTTAAAGAAGATGAAACTGTCATTGATGAACCTCTAACTTAGCAGGCTACTCTTGACTCTCGTGTAGATCTCTCAGAGAGAGAGAGAGAGAGTGTGTGTGTGTGTGTATGTTAGCGGTTTCTATTACAGAGTGTTCGGGAGCTGTATAGGAATTTTCTTAGGGCCTAGAAAGTCTGAGAAAATGGCAAGAAACGGAAGAGGAGAAAGATCTCTCTCTCTCTCCATTCATCTCCGACATCTTCGTTTCTGATACCACTGTTCTCCCCCCATACCACCACCACCACCATCCTTCCAAATCTGAGTTAGAAACCATCATCGAAACCCTAACTTTGAACCTTCGCTATAAACCTAACCCTGAGCTCCATCGCTACTCTTTCTCTAACTCTCATCTACTACCATCGCCACCTCCATTGCCAAACACCACCATAGCTACCAACCATGGCCACCACAACATCGACTACACCATGGACATCCACAAATCTCTCTACCACACCGAAGACGTCCCTCAAGGTCTCCCATTCTCTCTTTCTATATATAAATCTGTATATGTATATATAATTTTTCTAGGGTTTTGAATTTTTGGTGTTGTTGTAGAGATGGTGGAAATTGTGGCAAGATTGAAGATGCTGGAGAAGTTGGTTGCCCTATTGATTTCGCTATCTTCTCTTCTCTTTCTCAACTTCTCTCATTTTCAGATCTCCTCTTCTGCTGCTCTCCTGTTCTCTACACAGATCGTACAGATCGATCGATGATCAAGATCTAGATCTGTGTAAATCAAAACCATAACCAGATCTATGTAAATCAACAGATATGTGTAGATCCATTTCCTCAGATCTATCTACAATTTGTTTTTTGTTTTTTGTTTTTTCTTGTAGTTGAACAGATAAATTTTTGAGAAAAACATTGAACAGAAAGGCTCAGATCTATTTAACAAATTGAACAGATCTATTTCCCTTTTTCTATTCAATACACCCTTACTGTGATCTATGTATTTTTTTTTATTTATTTGGTAGTTATTGTTGTTGTTATTGTTGTTGTTGATGATGAAACAGATTGAAAAAAACATATAAACAAATAATATAAACATATAAACATATTTGAATTTCAACAGATAAAATTTGTTAAAATTGAACAAATAAGAAAATTGAACAGATAAATTTAAACAAATAAGTGAGAAAATTGAAGATATAATAAAATTTGAATAAATATTTGTAGACAATCCATTTTTGACCGCCCTTACGACTTGGACGTCACCACTTGCACACCCAATGATGAATGTGTGTATACTTGTTGAGTGCTCGGAAGTCCTCAGCGGAACACCACAGCTTTGAACCTTTCAAACCCTACACACCTCTTGCCTTGTTTTGGACCAAAACCAGAGTTCTTCAAGCTTGTAGACCCTTGTGACCTGCCGGTCACAACCTTTGGCTGTCGGCCACCATTAGTGGCCTGTCGACCACAATTGTGTTTTGCAGATATTTTTTTGCCAGCTGTGCCAGCTATTGGCACAGATGCATGCACTTTCTTACACTTATATGAGATGCATGAACTTTCTTACACTTGTATGTATTGATATTTCTGAGGGAGTGTGATGTTTTTCTATATATAGAGGACCTCCCCTCTTGCTTTCAAGGTTAGAAAATTTTAGAGCAAATTATTTTCTCTTTCTACAATTCTCTCTCTCTCTTTCTTGCAAATTTCTTGACCTTTTGCCTATACACTCTAAACTAAACCTTACCATCTTTGTGTTGAGTTACTTTTGAGCCATCTTTGAGCTCTTGAGGGTGTGTTTGTGTTGCATTGTTGCTTGGAAGTGCTCTCCTCTTCAAGAGGTATAAGGCTTCGCTTGTTTCCTTGGTTTGTTTGCTATTTTCCTATTTTTTTCCTACTGTTTTTCTATTGTGTTTGGACTGTTTAAACTCTGTAATTTTGGGCTGAAACTTGTGGTTTAAGGCCTTAAAGGGTGGAGGGGTAGTTTACCTCTCTTTCCACCTTGCTTCTCTAGCATTTACCCTTGTGTTTCCCACCTTTACACTATCTTTTTTTGAGCTTTTAAACATTGATTTTTAGAGCTTTTTTAGTGGCTATAATGTTGTTTTGAAGTCCAAAATTAGAGGGGTTAGCCTCCCTTCGTTGTGTCTTGCTTTCTAGCCTAAGATGCTCCATGTTTTAACTTATTGTTCTAGCTATTTTTATCTTAATTCCAATATGATTTAGGACTTATTTAGCATTGTTTTAGGATTATTTTTTAGTGTTCATTGCATTTTAGCTTTGTATTGCATACTTGTAGTGTAATTGTCCACATAGGTTTGGTGGTCTAGGCCTTAGCCACCATCCTATTTGAATTGATAGCACTTATTTATGGCTTTCCATACTTGTGATAACCTTTATTCACTTATGCAACCTCTCTCCTTTCTTGGCTTTTGCTTTGCTTTGAAAGTTGGTTTAAACTAGTTGTTTGTTTAAAGCATGAGATTGAGGTCCTGTGCTTAATGGTTTAATCCATTTGAGGGTTCATTACCAACGGCATGAAACTTCTCTCATGTCTAAAACAACTTTTGGTTTGATTCTTCTTTCCATTAGAGGACTTAAAATTCATCTTTGGACTTAAATTACTAAGGAATGGTTGGTAATTAAAATGAAGTAATAAAATTGAAGACTAAAAATGATGCAAGATAATAACTTGGTTGGGTTTAATCGGACATTAATTGAACCCTTGGGTCTTGAATCGTTTCATACTTGCTAGTGATGCAAACGGTTCAAGAGTCATTGTCAACCACTTCCTTTGATTAATCCATGATAGGGAGGAGGTTTAAGAGTCTTTATTTGTTATATTTATTGAACTTGCACCCTTTGGTTCATAGGCCATCATGCAATGAAATTGCATCAATTGATGGTTTGTAAATCAAATTTTGCCATTCCTTTGAGCTGTTTGATGATAAGGAGGGGTAAGTTGTGCAAACAACCCTTGAGAATACTTGTGCTTGCTCTGCTTGCTCTCTGTTGCAGAAGAAAGAACCAGGCATCAGTGGTTGGTAAGCCACTATTTGGGGACGACAGGCCACTACTTCTAGCCTGCCAGCCACCTTTACAAAATCCAGCAGTAGCTTTTTGAAATGAAACAGAGTTAGTTTTGAGGTGAAAAACAGTGCAAGTGTTCGAACTGTGTAACCTGTCGAACAGTGTGCTTTTCGGGTGGAAATCCGCGCATGCATGAGCACTCCTTGCTCCTCGGGGTTGTTTAGTCTAAGTACTTAGCTCAGATATTTGTTGTAATTAATTAGTTGTAGCTAGTTAATATTGTAGAGTGTTGTAAATAAGTAGTTAGCCAAACTAGTTATTCAATTTTGTCTTGTAATAATTAATTAAATAGCTAGAATAGTTGATTAATTTGTTGCTGTAATAGTTAGTTAAGTAGCTTAGCTAATTTATTAATTTCTTTTTGTAATAGCTAGTTAATAAGTTTAGCTAGTTAGTTTATTTGGACCCTCATGCGTGAGGGCGCAAAACTCATAATAATGTATATGTCTTCTAACCCTACGTCTTTCTCCATTTTATGTAACTGCTTATGATGGTTAGTTTAGGGCATCATGTTTCTTTTAGCATCTTTCATGATTTGCGTCCACTTGTTTTGCATGCACTGAGGTTCGGTACATCATTCTAACTTGCATTGTTGTTTAAATATTTCTTTGAAAAAGGTGGTTAAACTGCATGCTATCAAATTGATTCATATGCCATATTAGTCGCCGAGCCTAGTGATTGCATATCGCATGTGTTGCATTAGTTATAGCTCATAGTTAGGATCATGCATTATTCTAACTTTATCATCTTTTTTGGCTTAGAGTACTAGGTGAGCATTTTGCTTTAGCATAATTGCATAAGTGTGATTGTTGTCATGTCTAGCATGCTTGCCATGAGGCTGAGTGTTTAATTGATAAATTGCTTGAATGCCTGTAGATGAAGGTTGATTACCTGAATTGGAATAATTTGAGTAATGTTCATATGCGGTCACTTTTTCAAGTGGTACATATTCGAAACAATTTTCAAAAACAAACATGAAATCAAGTATTCCAATTCTTGCAAATTAGTCTATACTTGTCTGTGTGTGCATTACATAGTAATGCTAGCCTAATAAACGAAACAAGAGAATATAATGTAAATAAGATTCACATCATGATTATTAGAGGCCGATCTTTGATTGGGCGAGCGTGGGTGCTCAATTTATGACCTTCCCCTCTTGTACCTAAGTTCTCGAGCCGAGACAATCTTGGTGATGACGGACATGTGACCTTTGGCATGAGTCATGGGTTTCCTAAATTTTTTAAAAATATTTAGGTGGCGACTCTGTATTTGGCAAAGCAATCCATTTTTTGGCAATTTGATTCAAAATTAATTTTCCAAAAGATTTGTCGGATTTGGATTCTTTGGTGTTTATCTATTTTACATTGCAG